TTGGATAGAGGCTTCTCCCACCTGGACTGAGAAGGCCCAAGAAGTAGCCAGACTACTCCTCCGAGAAATTGTTCCATGATTTGGCCTACCAATTACCATTGGCTCAGATAACAGGCCAACCTGAAATGGTACATCTACTAGCCAAGAAATTAAATATTAAATAGAAATTGCATACCGCCTATCAACCACAGGGTTCGGGACAGATAGAACGCATGAACAGGACCTTTAAGTCTCAGTTGGGAAAATTATATCAAGAGACACATCTACATTGGGATGAAGTCCTCCCCCTGGCACTATTAAGAATCAGGTCAACCCCAACCACGAAGACTGGGTTCTCCCACTATAAGATCCCATCAAAGGACTACGAGGAGACCTCAAGGAAATAGGTGAATTGACTCTGAGATGACAGCTTCAGGCCCTAGAGACCACTTTCCGACTCTCAACCAATGGGTTAGAGAAAAGCTTCCTGTCAGTTTAACCACTGAAGTTCATTCCTTTAAATCAGTAGACTCTGTCTGGATGAAGGAATGGAATATTCAGCCCCTAAAACCCTGTGGAGGGGCCCCTTTACTGTCATCTTGTCTACCCCCGCTTCAGTTAAGGTTGCTGAAACAATGCCCTGGATACATCATGGCAGACTTAAACCCACAGCTGCAGAGTGGGAACGTGTTCCAAACTCTTCTGAGCCCCTCACGGCAACCCTCCAGAAGAAAACACTGTCTGTGCCAACAGACCAAGGGTAAGATGTCGGCCCTACTTTGGTCACATCAATCTATGCGTGGCAGAAGCCTGAGGATGACATCTCGTCAGGATGGGACCCTAGTAACCTTTTTGGAGGCTGGTTCTCCACTTTCGGTAGCTTTAAGACCTTAGTTGGGATAGTACTCCTCCTCCTCCCGTGCCTATTGCCTCTTGTTATCTGGTCAATTACCTCCTTCATAGACGTTATAGTAGAAAGAAAAACTGCAGCAAAAATTCTCATGCTATGGAGGTACCAGCCCTTGAATCAAAAATTAGAAGAAGGAGATGATGCTCTCTGACCTAGTCCTGGGTCCGAGCATCAAAGGGGGAAATGTGGCAGCCTGACCCTGCCTGACCATTTCCTGCTCAAATGAGTTAGTTCCTGACTGCACTCCACACCCTTCCCAGGACTCTTTGACTGACTCGGCAGTCTGAAAACTTGCTTAAACGATTAAGCCAGTTTCCTTATAGTTTGGCAACCAATCAATGCTCTCCTTATGTTCTCCTTCCTTATATGGAATATCTATAGCTGTGTAGGAATGCAGAAGTACAAGATTGTATAAAACTGCCCGCCATGTTACAATCGGGCTCAGCCTTTGGATAAGAATCCACCAAGCTGGTGCTGGCATCAATAAACACTGCTTCCTGCTTATAGCCTTGGTGTCCCATCTCTCTGTTTGAGAATCCCTCAACACCCTCAAACATCTGGCTTTGAAAACTAACAGGGTTTGCGTCCAGAAGACCCAAGGGGCTATAGCGAACTGAGAAATGACATCTAAAGGTCTTGTGGGAAGAAGCAGTTACAAATTAAACTTCTTACAATTTTCTGGCTGATTCCTCTCACTGGGCATCCTTTTCTGGCCTTCTCTCATCTAAGCCTCCAGGAGCCACCATTTTGCATTTTTCTTCCTTTCCTTTTGAGAACTTTCTCTCTTCAATTTTCTTGCCCCAGTCTGGGGGAGTCTCAGCCTGCCAGTGGAAAACTCAAAATTCTTACTACTTTGTTCCTAGAGCAAGTTATCACCCTTTGTTCCAATCTCTTCATTCTGAAGGCTGCCCTGCATGATTTTTCTTCATGAAAACATTGATGTGTTTTCCTGAACAAAAGAACCATCTACCCTGGGTCTCCATCCTTAGTGACCTATACATGATCTTATTTAATCTGTATGACAGCCCTGTAAGCTGAGTACTGCTAGTTCCCATTTTATAGCTGAGTAGATAATGGCCTAAAGAGATTGTCACAAACCAGCTGGTCATGGAGCTGAGATTCAAATCCAGCTCTAACTGCTCCTAATCACTACTTCACACTGCCTTCACATACAAAAAAAGAAAACTATTTTAAAGGAGGCCAAAATTTCTGCGCCGCACTCTCTGAGTGACCCTGCTCTAGGTTAGGCTAAAACACTATTTTTTCTGCCACTACGGAAAACAGTAGGGACGTTCCTCAAAAAATTAAAAATAGAACTACGGTATGATCTAGCAATTCCACTTCTGGGTATTTATTCAAAAGAGTTGAAAGCAGAGACTCAGAGCTGTTTTTCACACCCATGTTCACAGCAGCATTATTCACAGTCACCAAGAAGTAGAAGCAACCTAAATGCTCATCAGTGGATAAATGGATAAACAAAATGTGGTATATACATTGAATGGAACATTATTCAACCTTAGAAAGGAAGGAAATTCTGGCTACAACATGGATGGACCTTGAGGGCATTATGTTAAGTGAACTAAGCCAGTCACAAAAAGACAAATACTGCCCGATTCCACTTATATGAAGTCCCTAGAATAGTCAGATTCATAGACACAGAAAGTAGAAGGGTGGTTGCCAGGGGTTGTGGGGAGGGAGAAAAGAAGAATTGTTCAAGGAGTATAGAGTTTCAGTTTTTCAAGATGAAAAAGTTCTGGCAATCTGTTGCACAACGATGTGAATATATTTAACATTACTAAATTATACACTTAAAATGGTTAAGATGGTTATATGTTGTGTGTTTTATACAATTGAAAAGTTTTAAAAATTAAAGATTACAAAAAAATTTAAAACACTATTGTTTCTGAAATGCTTGATGTTTAACCCACTCTGACCTTGCATATTTTGAAATTTTGTTTGCAGAACACAAGTCCTGGACCGGTAGATTTGACTCTACCAGGAAATCGCTAAAGCATCCCCAAGCCATCTCCAAGAAAGATGTTTATACCTCCTCTCCCCAACCATATCGAGTTCAAAGACTCTTAATTTTGGAGGGGGGCTCTGAAAATGCTTTTTAGAATCTGATAGAAGCTGCCATGCTCTCTCCACCTCCACATCTCAAATGCACAGACGCATTGACACAGATCATTTTCAGAGGACCCTTAGATACCCTGGATCCTCTCCATGGTCTTCCAAGGACCCCAGGATGAGATCCTCTATTGACCTTGCATAGCAGAACTTCCCCTGATAGGCTCATAAATTTGTTGTTAATCATCTGCTTTCCCTCCCAATGAAATCAAGGAAAAAGAGAACTTCTTACAAAAAGGCCACGTGTGACGTCTCATCCTACCAGAGGGTGTTATATTTTCTGTGTGACAATTCACTCTAAAACATCTCTATATGTACAGAGTTGGGTGTGTGTGTGTGTGTGTGTGTGTGTGTGTGTGTGTGTGTGTGAGTATACTTACCTGAGGGGCAGTTAGCATTGGAAGAACATAATCAGGAACCTACACTCCAAAACTGGTTACTTGAGGGTTTCAAATATCCTCACCTAAATCTACACCAAAGGGTCTCTTAATGAGCATTGGTATCTTAGAAATATTAAGATATATGATTTAAGATTACAGGCTCCTTGTCTGGGTGGAAATGAGGCTAGTGTACCAACCTGGCACCCTCACAGCAACACTAATCTGGAGTTTCATCTAGTCCTCTATCATCTCGCCATTTTCTGAGGACTGTGGTGCCTGATCTCCACAGAAGTTTGGCTGACCCCATCAAGAGAACATTATTGCATCTCAGAGCAAACCCTGCATGCAAAATGCCTCAGGAGGGCCTGAGGACAGAATGGGACACTACCAAGCCTACAGGAACAGGTTATATCACTGTTCTTGTACCTGCTTCCTAAGAAATGATTGTATGGTTGATTGAATTCCATCTGACATTTGCTTTCATTCTAATATGCCATTTGACAGTCAGTGGTGGGGAAGTACAAGTAGAGTCCCAACCTATCTTCCTGGCAGCAGGATCAGCTCAGGTATACCCACATGCCGTCCAAGTTAGATGAGGCTTTGCTGTATTTAGGAATTAAACTGTGTCATTTGAACTCAGTTTCTCCCTCTATCTCTCTTTCTAGCTCTGGCTTCATTCTTAGGCTCCATGATGATAGGAAGAAGGCAGCAGCATCATCTCATATTCACTCTGGTTCAGGTTTGGCATGGAAGGTAAAGATCATATTTTCCTGAGTGCTCTAACAAAATGTCCCCAAAGTAAGCCTAATTGCCATTTTGGCCTGACTTGGGTCGTGTAACCATCTCTGATCCAATCACTGATGCTGGGAAAAGATGTTCTGATACGTTGGGCATGGGTCACATGCCACTCCAGGAAGAGGTGTCAGCTCCACCAGAACCATATGGCTTGAGTAGTTAGAGGTGAGTGGTGGATTAAAGATGGCCACAAAATCTTTGCCACTCTTCCCATTGAGAAATAGAGTTCGTTTCCCCTCCCCTGTGAATCTAGATCAGCCTTGTGCCTTATTTTCACCAAAAAAATACAGTAGATATGACACTGTAAATTTCAAAGCTGTAGATTCTGCTTTTGTGTGCTTGGAACACAAACAAACCCTCATGGAATGCTGAGGAAGCTCAAGCAGCCATGTGGGGGAGAATCAAGGGGCCCTCAGCTCATCTCCCAGCTGGCACCCAGCACTATTTGCTAGCTGTGTAGGTGGAGCCATCTTGGACAGTTCAGACCAGCTAGGCCTCCAGACACCAGGAAGAGCAGAGGAATCACCCACCTGAGCCTGGTCAACTCACAGAACCATGAGAAATAATGTATTGTTATTGTTTGAAGTCATAAAATTTGGGGATAGTTTGTTAAACAGTCATAGATAGCTGATACGGAGTGGTTCCCAAATGAAAATCAGATTTTCCTAGAAATTAAATAAATGAATGCTAGATGGACAACAAACAGGATTTACCACAACTACCCACTTTGTGTAGTCAACTCTTCCTGGCAACTGATGGGCTCAAGAAGACATGGAATATTCTGTAGTAACATTTCAGTGACCACTTACCAGTTTTGCCAGTGGAAGCTTCCTGATTCCAGGCTAACAGCTCCAGCAATTTTTAATCACAGCTGCTCCATTGGTGGCTCCTGGCCTTCCTGCACATAGCAAAGATAGTGGCTCCCCTGGTGGGCCAGTCCTGCAGAGTTCTGGGAGTTATTCCTGGAGACTCAGCCTAGAATTCACAACAGCCCTTTTGTAGTGGGTTTAGTGGTAGCCCCCAAAGCTATGTCCACATCCTAACCCCTGTAACCTGTACGTGGAACCTTATTTGGCAAAAGGGTCTTTACAGATGTAAGTAATTTAAAGATCTTGAGATGAGGTCATCCTGGATTACCTACGTGGGCCCTAAATCCAATGACAGGTGTTCTTATAACAGACAGAAAAGGAGAAAACAGAGAAGACCATATGAAGACAGAGACAGAGGCTGGAGTAATGCAGCCACAAACAGTACTGACAGTCATTAAAAACTGGAAAAGTCAAAGGATTCTCCAGTGGGAGCATGGCCTGACCTTGATTTCAGACTTCCAGCCTCCAGAATGGTAAAAGAATCCACCTATGTGTTTTTTTAAGCCACCTAGCTTGTGGTCATTAGTTATGGTAACTTCAGGGAACAAATACACCTTCTAATGATTCTTTAAGCACCAACTTCCCTGTATTAAATTCCTTTCTGCTTAAAATATCTGGAGCAATTTCTGTTTCTTGCACTGAACCCTGAGTGGTATAACTTCTTTCCCATCCTGGAAATGGAAGACTAGGCAAGCCAGGACACATATTGTGAGTAGGACCCAGGGACATACTCAGATTTGAGGCTCATAAAATGGTGCCATCTGTGGTTCTGCTGTCAGCCTCACAGGCAGGTGCATTTCTCCCAGTTAGGCAGAAACATTGATCCTGATAGAGTTTTCTTCTTACTGCCAGTGTGGCAGCAAGAGTTAATTCTTACTTTAAATTATTCTGTAGCCAGTACCCTGGCTCACCTCTGCTAAGAGCCCACTAGCCCCACAGCCTGGGAACATGGAGCCAGGTAGGGCCCAGTGATGCCTACCTTTTGTTCCTTTATTCCACAGAATCCAAAAAAAGAGCCGGAAATCACCAGACAGGATTGAGTCTTTATCCCAATAACAAGAAGAGGATCTAGCCACAGTCACTTCTAAAAAAAAAAAAACAGGTTGTCTTGGTCATCTTTCTTTCTCCAAACCAGAACTCTATGTTTTCATGGAGATGTGGGTGGTGTGTGTACTGAATCCATGTGTCTATGTTTCCATGTGTGTGTTTGTGTGTGCATTTCTGTGAGTTTGTGTTTGGTGTTTGGATGTGTGTGTGTTTCTGTGTATGTGTGTGCATTTAATTGTATATGTATATTTTTGTATGCGCAAGTATTTATATGTGTGTGGAGAGAGGATGTCAGCAGAAAAGTGGCTGCAGTTACTGTTAATATCATAAACTTGAGCTATTGTTTTCATAAATAGGAAGCTGGAGATGGTCTCTTGCTGCTCTTACCACTGTGCTGTTGAAATGATATTGCTGTGGAAGAATCCTTCCTTCGTTCTGCAAGCGTTAATGTATCCACATAAAACAGGATGGGTGAATTCCACTCCACTGAAATCCAGGTGTGATCTACTTCTATCGTGGAGTTCCTAAGCCCAAGCACTACAGCACTTCATGGCCTTTGTGTTTGAGATCAAAATGAAAACCATGGAAATCTCTACTAGTAAAGGTGACATCAGCACAGTGCTTCTCGATAAATTCCCAGTGATGTCTGTGTTGATGGTTATTTATTAAGCACGCCTTAAGCACCTGGAGCTGTTCCAGCCACTGGCTTTATTGAGAGAATTCCACCCTAATTTGGGCCCTTAGGAAGCTCTTGACATGGTGTAGCATGATCAACACTGGGCGAGGCAGGGGGCAGGGAGTCATGAAGCTGCTGGTGGTGCAGGCCAGCTCTGTCCCTCCTAACTTGAGCCCAGGTCTCTGAAAATGGGTCTTCATGACCAAGCCCCTATCTTGGACATGAGCCCCTGAAAAAATTCTTCTTTACTCCTGGATACTTCTAAAGGGACAGGAGTATCACATTAACTTCTGCATTCCTTTAGAATCCTGACCCTGGATCCCCCTCATCAGGCCTGGAGCCCTGCTGCCACCCACCCTTCTATATCCTCAGCAGCATGCCCTTTTGTTGGCCAGGCCACACCAGTCCCCTGACATCTGCCCAGATGGCTTTCCCTATACTCACTACTAAGGTGGTGGGTGGAAGTATCTAGAGCTTTGGGCCTGGCCATGTTCACTGTCCCATATGAATATTTCCCAGGACTGGTTCTGACAGCAGCACTAGCAGAGGCTCATATAAAACTTCAGCCTTCAAACTCCCTCAAACCTCTGCCTACTAGCCAGACTGCTCTCAAAAGGGCAGTGTCGCCTGGAAACCAGCCCCATGACCCCTGAGCATTGCTCAGGACTGGGTGAGCACCATGACCCTGGAGCTCAGCCAGGGGATTCCTCAAAGCCAGGGTTTCCAAGTGGGTTCAGAAGAACAAAAGGCAAAGAATAGAAGCCAAAGGCTGGGGTAGGGGCTGAGGAAAGTGGGAGAAGGACATCTGAGCACCCACAGCACCAAATCCTCCAGAACCTCACCTTCTGCAGGAGGGACAATTAGTGGCAGTGGCTCAGTGCTCACCATGTACTAAGTACAGGATATGCAGCTTCACACCAAGCCTCATAACAGCATGAATTACTCCTGCCTGTGAAGTGAGGAAACAGAAACACAGCTTGAGTGACCTGCTCACAGTTAGAAAATGTAGTCTGATTCCCATGTGTTTTCCTCAGGCCACCATGCTGACACTCTGCTGCAGATGTCTCAGACCTGATGGTGGTGCAGGTCTCCCACCTGAGTCTGAACTGATGGAGTGTAGGGTGGACAGATGGTTCTGTCCTTTCTCCACCGCAGCTCTGTCTCCCTTCAGTGGCACCTGGATTCTGGCCCCTTCTTCCTTCATTCCTTGAGGCTCAGAACATTAAGATCACCATCAGAGCCAGGGCTCCCAGCAGCCTCTGTGCTGATTCCTTTCCCATTCATCATGGGGGCTCTCTTGGATGTCTGTGTTGAGAAACAAATGTTCTCCTCTTTTAGTAAATTATGTGAAATATCACACAGAGGGACAGTTGGTTAGAACACAAGCCACTGCTTTCCTACAAGGTGAGGACACTGAAGGCACAAAACATATGCAGGGCTGCCCATGCGCAGTGCCCAGCCTGCATGCTCAGCATATCCTGGTTTCCCTGCATGTGCACTTCTGCTTCGGTCTCCAGGTCAGCTGGGTACTATGTCTCCCTCCCTAATCCTTGAGGCAACAAGGTTGTCTTTCCAGCTGGTTACCTGGGCACAGGCAGGTTGGGCAGACACAACTCCTCCAGGTGCCTCCTCAACATCTCAGCTTGCTTGGCCTCTCCTTTCTGGTTCTTGAAACCAGAAATCTCATCAACATGGTTCCTGTGCCAGAAGAAGGAAAGGTGGGGAGAGCGGTGGATAAAGCAACATTGGGCTATAGACTAAGCACGTTACTGCACTCTTTTTATAACCCCTGCCCTTTGGGGGACTCTTTCTTCTTTCTGTCTTCAGGCTCCTAGACCCAGGCTCCCATCCTAAAAAACAAAACCCTACTCTTTGGAATAAATCTTGTGTCAGCCATTTACACCTCAGAATGAATTTAAGTCAATGAAATAATTCTCTCTCCCAGGGAGATTCGCATTTAATTTTTTTTTGATGGAAATTATTATACAATGAGAGATTTGTCCCCATTAAGAGATTTTTGACTCACAATCCCCTAAAGCAGACAGGCATTTTCGGAGGTACATGCTTCCACAGACTGGAAATCCTACAACTTCATTCACTTGTCTTATTTCCAAACTGTCTAGCACAAGTCAACTTCTTCCCTCTATGTTCTCTTGCTCTCCAGCCCAAATTGATCCTGGAGTTTGAAAGTTTTTGTTGACTCACCTTTATGATTCATCTAAGTATCATAAGATTTCAAGTCTGGTGGGAACTTGGAGATCAAATAATGCAAGTTTCTAGATGAAGAAACAGAAATTGAGAGAGAGGAGAGAGAGAGAGAGAGAGAGAAAGAGAGAGAGAGAGAGGGAAGAGAGAGAGAGAGAGAGAGAGAGAGAAAGTGAGATGTCCAAGATCCCACAGCAAGTTACAGCAAAGCTGGGACCAAACCCCAGATTTCCTGGCTCTTAGCAATGTCCTTTGCATTATGCCACACCAAGACCCATAAATAACTCTCAACCAAACACCAGCACTGTTTGCAAAGTGAAGTCCAGACAGAAGCCCTCTGCTTTGCTGAACTGCAGAGCATGGGCCTATACCAGGCGTCTGCCCTTCTAGGATTCATGACACAGGTAGCCTATGTGCAGTTTGGGAGGAATGTTTCTAGAAGCATTTGATCTAGAAAAAGAGGCCCATGGAGCTCCTTTTATGACTACAAGGTCTGCAAGGTATACAGGCTGGAGAGATCTGAGCAAAGCTCCCTATTTTCATCATCCAGACAAACACCTCTCCTGAATTTTGCAACAAAAGGCTTTAGTTTTGTGTTCTTATCAGCCAAAGCCCCTCATCTTACAAAAAGCAGAGCCAGCCTTGACCACCAAGTCAACTTTCTCAGTTGCTTACCTCACGAGCCTGCCCATGGGCTTCTCATCTCTTTGAGATCAGCCTTCATCTAACTTTGATCTGAATTTAACCCAGAAGTATAAGCCAAAAGCAGAGAGCCAGAATCAATATGCTGTCTAGTGGATTAACAGGCACTGGAAACATACTGCCTGGTTTCAAATCTCATCTCTGCCATCTCCCAGATCTGTGTCTTTGAGCTGTTTACACAATCTCTCTGGGCCTCAGAACCCTCATTTGTCAGATAGGGATAACTCTGGCACCTGCCTCCAGGTCTGTTGCGACAGTTAAATGAAGTCTATACATGGAAAACACTTAGAAAGGTTCCTGCACATAGTAAGTGCTCACTTAAAGTTACCCGTAATTCCATTGGTGCCTCCTTTCAGAACCTCCCAAATGTCTCTTTGCTTTTCCCCTGAAACAAAGCACTATGAGCTTTTGTTTAAAAGGGAGGTACATTAAAAGGACCCTGTGTGGAAATTTCTGAAATTCGTGTGAAAAACTGAAATATACTAGCCATACTCACTTTATCTTGACTAAACCAAACCAAGGAAACTAATAAGATAAAATCTTGATGAGATGTGGAATGTGTGTGTGTTTGTGTGTGTATGCACATGCGTGTGTCAGATGGAGTTGTGGGATTTTCCCACCTGCTTGAAATTAGCATTATTCTATATTAAGTCATTATTACATAATCTTTTTTTGTCATGTTCTTAGTTTCTAATGTACAAGTTAGTGCTGAGAAATAAAATAATGATGAAAAGAAGGTAGCATGCTCCAAGGGAGCCAACACTACATAAATATTTTAACTTTCAAACAAACTTGAATTTTGTGTACACCACTCTCTTCATTCTCTCCATTCTATACTATAAAGCCCTAAATCTGTGTAGTTCTGAGCTGGCCACCAGCGTGGCCCAGAAACATCACCTCCTCCCCTTCTGCATCCTCTGGGTACTGATTCTCAGTAATGGCTGGGGAATCACTGTGTGGAAACTGCTCTCCAGGCTGCTTTTAGAGCACCAGCAGCCATAGTTTGGTGTTTATGGGCTCAGGGTAGACTGAACAGCCAGCTGTCTATAGCAGGGAAGTCCCTTGGCTGAAAAATATATCCCCTACTGGCCTGTGGTAAATGCCTGAAATTCCACCATTAGCAATGCATTCCTTTGGTTATGCCACGCCATTCTCAGGCCACAATTTTCAAGTGAAAATGCCCCTCAAGGGAGTAACACGTGAAGACCATGACACTTATGATGAATGAGTGTTTCAGATCATTCCTGAGAAGGGAGGTAAGCATCGGCTGGGGGCAGGGAAGAAGGAGTATGGAAGAAGGGGTGAGGACATGGAAGGCTGAAGGCAAACTTGGACAGCTGGGTCATTATGACAGTTATAAAACATGGCTTTAATTTTCTGATACTCCTTCCAATGAAAGGTGGGGTTTATGGCCTCTCCCCTTAAATCTGAGTGGGCTTGTGAGTACTTCAACTAATAGAGGATGGATGAAGCACCTGATGTAACCTCTGAGGCTTTATGGTCATAAAAGGCCATACAGCTTCCCTCTGGTTCTCTGGAACACTCACTTTTAGGGCCCTGGATAATCATGTGAGAAAGTCCAACTACTCCAAGACTACATGCTAGAAAGATTACTCTGAACCTTGCCTGCCAGCCATCCCTGCCAAGGTTCTAGACATGCGAGTGAAGCCACCAGAACAATTTATCTGCCAGTGGAATACCACTAAGAGACCTCCCTCAATTCCTGCAGGAGCAGAAGAGTTGTACAGTCAAATCCTATCCAAATTCCTTACCTATGAAATTGTACAATATAATAAAACAGTTGTTCTAGGCCACTCATGAATGGGGTATTATTATGCAAAAATAAATAACTGGAACAGCCATGTGCCCAGAACTGGCCTGACAGAGTCAGCTTCACAGATGGCTTATATAAATGTTTCTGGGAATTGGGGTAGGGAGTATCTAAACTCCCAAATAGAGCAAGCAGATTTATCAGAAAAATACTACCTCAAGTCTCTGGAAATAATGTCTAGCCCACACTTGGGGCCTGCACCCCAGACCTACTACAGGTCATTTATTTGCCAGCCCACAGAACCCTCTGCACATCCATGGTTGGGAGCTGAAGACTTTGGGGAGTCTTGCTCATCTTCCATTAGATGAAGATGCTGAGTTTCCGAGATGAAACTTGTAGCTTCCCTAGTGTCCAGAACAGGATCTGGTATCCTATCCTTCAGATCTCTAGAGGAGTGGTGTGAGGTTTTTTGTGAAAATCGTGGGCATGGACTCAGAAGCTGGCAAGGCCTGGGTTCAAGAACTAGCTTCTTCACATCTTGGCCTTGTTGACTTTGGTCAGTTTCTTCATCTGTGAAATGAGACAACAGATTCCAGTTCACAGGGTTAATGTGAGAGTTACATGAGATGGCATATGGGACAGCCCTGGCACAGACAAGATTTACCCTCACCCCATCCCTTTTACCCACTCCATGGCCCTTTCCACCTCACCACACAGGATCCTCTCCAGGAAGAGCCCTCTCAGTCTCCCTCCCTCATCCTTCCTCACTTTCTGGGCTGTTGCTATGATTGGGAAGTGGAATGAAGAGGTCTCTGGGAACACCGAAAATGAGGCTATTACCCTTCTGAGTGCTTCCTGTGGTCCATGAGCCTCTTCTTGCTCATCCCCTAGCCCAGACCAGCTCCCTCAAAGTGCCCTCTTATCATAGAAAGCTACAGGGTACAGGCTTCTTATCTGCAGAATTAGCGGGTTTGGTTTTCCATTTTTACCTTGGACCACCTCTGAAACAGTTGTCAGATGGGGCTAGGACAGGAAATAAAGTAAATCAATCAAAAGTTCTCCAAACTAAGTACAGCCAGTCCTGATGGTGGCCCCTTCGAATCTGTCCTCCAGATGGCTGAAGACCACAAATCAGGGAGGGCTCCACTTGCATGAGGAATCCAAAAATTCCAGATCTATGAGATGGTGGAGGGTTGGGGGGAGTGAGGAGGGGCCTGAACCATAGGGAAGGCCCTATCTCCCAAGCCTGCTGGGTGCCCACCTCATCCCAGATCCAGCCCAGAGGGACCAGCGGCACATGGCAGCCAGAGACACTTTCCAGGCTCTGCTGGGCTGGGCAGGGTGAAGTTGGGTGGGCCCGCCCGGAGGCCTGCTGTCATCAGGAAATCTTTTCACTCACAGATGGGTAAATTCTGTTAGCACACTATTCCTCTTCTGGAAAAACAGAGGCTGTTCTTAAGGGAGAAAGGGTAAAGGTAGGAGGTTGCTGTCTTTTTTTTTTTTTTTTTTAAGGAGATTTGACGGACAGGAACACAATACCTTTTTTCTTATGTAAGTGGTAGCCACCAGGTTTATGCTCCTCCTGGAGCGTTTTCCACACTCTCCCTTTCCTTGCTTCCCCAGATCCTCCTTTCTATTCTGACTTAGTTTGTGCTCCCTCAGAAGTAGACTTTGAGAACAAAATTTGACCATAACTGGTTTATATGGAGAAAACACAGAGGAGTAGGAGAGGTAAGATGGGAAAAGGAAGGAAGCATTATTAAGAAAGTTACCCCTTGAAATCCGAGGAAGATGGTGGACTAGGTAAAAGAAGGGTTTGCCTCCTCCCAAGTCCACATTGAAATTACAACCAAATTATAAAATAATCAGTGCGGAGAATCACCTGAAGTCCTGCTGATCATAACATGTATGTCCAATAATATAAAGGAGCTACATTGAAGCCAAAAGGAGGAGCAAAGTCACAAATCAGGTTGGACCCGCAACTACAGGTGGCGGAGGAACTCTGGGAGGGAGAGCGAGGCTACAGAGGCTCCCCTGAAGGAGAGAGAGGTCCTAGCCTCATTCTGGGTCTTCCCAGCCCAGGAAAGAGGAGCTCCCAAAAACTTTGACTGTAAAAATCAGAGGGGATTCTGGGTGAGAAAGACGGAGACTGAAACCCTAGACACCCCTTTGAAGGACCTATGCACAGGCTCTCTCACCTGTGGACACTCACCCGGGACACCAGTGGTGGGTCAGAGATTCAGGCAAAATTCATACGAGAAAGACTGCACTACCTGGCTCCAGAACAAAGGCTGGATGGGTAGCCACCATTGTACCCTAGTCGGGCCCCTCTAAGGGGCAATCTACAGACTGTGCCAGCTTGCCCATGCAGATAACTCCCACAGGACCATAAGGAAGTGCTGGCCTGAAGAGTTTGGCCCACCCCACCCAACCTGCAGATTGCCCAAGATGGCTTGTTGCTGGGCCACTGCTAGGC